GGAGAGGCTACGGATGGCTGGAGCTAGCCTTTAGGCTAACTGGGGTAGATAAAAGGAGTAACATGGAGGATCAGTGAGGGTTGCCTGGGTAGACGCCAGTAGAGCTGGGGAGAAAAGGCATACATCTGCGTTGGAGGTAAGATGACAAAATAGTTTTTCTTGGGCTAAATTATAATGGCTTTTTTAAAGCCACCTTAAATCCTCTTACGATCATTCCCACTTTATCCTTTGTCAACATTTTTTTCTCCATCTTCCATTTTTGATTTAAAAAAAAAGCTTGCCTCCGCTGTGCTCTTTCTTTCTTTTTTGTAACACACAGCCACATCTAGTCCCTGACTGGATTTTGTGATGCAAATCAAAACTTCATATTTTTTAACCTTTTTTGCAGGCCTGTTTGCAACCAAAACGTTACCAACTTTGCCAAAATTGTGCTGTTGGCCTCCCTAAATTTGCCACCCTCGCCTTACTCTGTTTCTTTCCCCTTTGCTGCGCACCAGATCCGCCCTTAGACATAAAGATATCATGGGAATCCTTAACTCTGTCAGGAGTCCTGTCTGTGTGTTTTTGTTTCTGTGTTTGTCTCCCTTCCTCCACCAGGAGGCACCTGGCTCTGGTCCGCCTCCTCACACACCTGCTGATGGTTTCCTCGTTAACGGAGCGTTCTGAAGCTGCTGACTGCCACTACCTCGACGCCAAAGTGTTTGCCAGTTTTGGGTACTCTAGCTGAGTTTTGCTGAGTCGAACTGAGTTTTTGTCTACCTGAGTTTTAACATTGTTTTGTCTTTGCCTCTCGGCAGGAAGTCATCCTGCAAACTGGATTTTTCGGACCTTCTCTCCCTGGAAGGATCAACTGAGCTACAAACTGAGCTGGGGTTCAAACAGGAGGTTTGGATCCACTTTCCCCAAGAGATTGTTTGAGCTTCGCACTGAGAAAGGGATTCATCTCCACAATGACCCATTCAAGTACCGGATGAAATCTGAGTGGCAGTCAGTTTCTCCGTTCACCTACAAACAACCGCATTCTGGGTAAACCCTGTTCCGCCCTCCACCGAATCAGACAAACACTGGAACTACAGCATACAGACTGGAGTCAAGGATTCAATACCTTCTCTGGAAACGTGAGTCAGCAACCAAATACTCTTCTCCAAGTTTACAAGTCCAATTTCCCACTGAGCCTGAACTAACCTCTGTGTCTTCCCCTCACTTTTCAGTTCTGGTTGAGCAGTGTTCAGAGCAACACTTCTGTCTGAATGATCTCTTCAATCTGTTAAACCTTTTCCCTGGTCTCCCTCTTTGGTCTTCTGCATTTGGGTCTGAACCTTAGTAAAATCATGACAAACTCCAGCTGTTAAATTTGGATTTAGTATGAACATGCCCGAATCAGTAACATATAACATGGTGATTGTATACTGTGACCTAAAACAAACTGTATTATTCAATAAATGGAGAGTTTTATATGTATATGGTTATTATGTGGAACAAAAAGGAATAGTGAACTGCTAGTCCTCATTAAAGAGTTAAAAGAGGAAGTAATAGTCAACCCATTGAGACAACGAATAAAGCATTGGGAAATGGATTGCACGCTGAGAAGAGGTCTGTATGCTAAGGAAGTTTCTTTAAACACTGAGAGAGGCAAATAAGATCAACAGCCAAAAAACAATTGTTGAACTAGAACAGATGTAAAGAAGCAAGATAATGCTGCCCCTATAAACAGATGCCTAAAGGGGGAAGATACAGCTGACCGACATTAACAAACACCTAGAGTGAGAAAAGGCTTTATATAAGAGGAACAATAGAGAAACAAAGTGATTGTTTCCCCCACAAGCAAGGAAGGTGGTAAAGACAAGAAAGCAAGGTAAAAACGACCATGTACAGCAAAGGGACTGCAGGAGAAAAAAGGGGATCAATCAATGGGCATAAATTAGCCATCATTCATCAGTTACAGTGGCACCCGGACCAAATTAGAACTCCAGTGAATTTAGGGTGCAAGAGTATTTCAAGTTGGTTGCCTTCAGACAAAGAGGCACAGCCTGTCATCAGCTTAGTTTTTACCACCATAATCTCCAATCATAAGAACTGGAGGCACTTTCAGCTTCCTGTGAGTGCCCAGCATATGGACTGTTGTGGCTAAAACTTTTTCCAAAGCCTTGAGTCTTTTTGTTGCTGTGAATTTCAAACCCAGAGGCTGTTGATGACTGATCTTTCTATTTGGAGTTTGGACTATTAGATAATAGGATTTGTGCTGAAGTGTTTGCAGCATATGGCCTCAAAAGCTCCTGGGCAAATTATCACCTCAAAAAGTTGTATTTATAAACTGAAACTCAAAAGTTTTCTAATCGTCTGAACACTGAATGTCACTGTAACTGCGCTTCTAAGAAAGGGGCTGAATATTGTTCAACTTTTACCCAAGAATCAAAAAAGTTTCTTGTCTGCATTCCACCTTAAATGGGTCAAAAGAGTCTATCCTTTCTCCATCAAGAGACTTCACCAGTTGTTCCTGTGTCAGCATTTTAGGGAAAGTTGGATTTATTGGCTTCATTTCACTTTTCATTATTATCCAATGAATTAATTACTGCTATATCTATGCTGTTTCTGACCCTGCAAAAGCATTATTAGATAATGGGCATAGAAATTAAGAGAAGATCTAAACATAAAAACATCTTAGCGGTTGACAATATTTTAAAAACAATTTGGGAGGTTAAGTTTAGCCAAAAGATGTTTAAACAACGCCCTTGGGGCTCATTCCAAAATATGCATCTAGCTCTAATTCCAAGTTGTTAGAGGAAAAGGGGGGTGGGTGCTCTTGGATGTAAGCAATTAAGAAGCAAGCTGGTAACAGGTTTAGACATTTCCATACCATGGCAAGTTTGGGCAAATCTATGTAGAATAGGGAGTTGGTGAGGTGTTTTATTGCTCATAGCACAACAAAAAACACAATTGTCTTCTATTGCTTGTTTTATACATACATTATCTCATGAAAAATAAAGAGCAGTCTAAGATTTTTGCCATGACTGTATGAGCAAATAATCTACATGTAACCAAGGCTGTTGATGATGTAAATCACACAAAGAAAGAAATACATAAAAATACTCTATAATCCATGTGTAATATACTAGAAAATCAATTTAAAATCATATTGAAAATGTTATATCTGTCAGTATCTATAATGCAATCCAACCCTATATTAGTGCAACTATATCAACTTGTTTAGTTAATTTGCCCTTTGGGTTGTGGCATGTAAAGGGTGTCCCATTAATCAGATATTGCACAAGAAGCACATAATAATGGGCAAGCCTATCACAACTCCATTGCTGCACAACATACTGATGGATTTATTTACAGACAACTCTTTGTTCTTCTGCAAGCGTCATTGGGTACATAACCCATGACTTTTACCATTAAAACAACAGGTAATGAAATCAATCATTGACTTTTGTTAACCCTCACAGCTTTGGACTCCACTGTAAAAGAAAATCATGCTTGAAGTTGCTTCAAGCTTTGGTGAATGTTTGGTAAATGTGTGAAATGTTAAAGTAATGGGTTCTAGTTAGATTAAACCAAAATAAAAGTCTCTTAATACTTTGATATCAATGTGAATACAAGATTTGGTGTAAGAATAGCTCTACACATGACCCTAAAATATATACGTACATGATATCAGAATAAGTATATCCACTAATGACTAGTGTTTGTGACTAGCTCCATCGTACAGGACGATGCCTAGAAGGTATTAGGATCAACACAGTTTCTTACCTTCTTAAGGATTAAGTAGATATAATTGTGAGAATGTTTGAAAATTAGGCCATCTGTCATTCCAGTTTGCCGAAAATAATCTGATTTATACATCTATTTGTGTTGACTTATTAATAACTTTCAGTTGTTTCAGATTTTTTGTTCCCACTGAACAACTTCATTATGTGTAAAATGACCGCAAATGAAAGCTTTAATTAAAATGAAGATTATTAACTTAATTAAAATGAGTTCTAAATATAAAAGAGCTTGGTGAATATTAAGGTTCTGTTGGGCAGAACCTCACTATTCAATATTAAAGTATGATCATTACCTTTTAAAGGTAATGATCATTATCGGACACAAAAGGAATTAAACTGCATTGTGCCAACATTCCTGCAGTGTCAAATGACTATAATCTTTTTTTATTATTATTATTTTAGTCATATATAGGACATAATAAACAAACTTAAAACCCCCAAAGTCTGGATGCAAGTCTGGTTTTTGTCTTGCAATGTGTTTAAAAAAAAAAAAAAGAAAAAAAACTTTACCAAGGTGGTACTTATAAAGCGTTTGAGAACCACTGATCTATGTCAAACAACCACTGAATGTTCTTTGATGATGCAGACACAATACAAGGGATGAGTGAATAACAAACACAGCTTTTCGCAGAAAGCCATTTCCTTTTTTAATCTAAAGGAGTTGGGAGGAAAAGAAGAAGGCCCTCCATCACATAAATAAGTCAGCAAAAGCGCAAATGGCTAAAAGAGACCCGAAAGGACTACCTATCTTAATGTTTTTTGTTCTTTTTTCTTTTTTTTTTTTTATCTCTTTAAGCCCTAGCATTCAGTCAAGTGCAAAGAAGTCATTGTTTTGTGGAGGCATATGTATTTTTGGCACGTTTTCCATTTAGCATCAGCTATACACATACAGCACAGTAAGTAGGCGGGGAAAAAAAGGAGCAGGAGGTCCTCTGGGTGTTCCAGCATCCATTCCTGGAAAAAATGTCAAAAAGTTTGTTGGATTCATTAGTGGTAAGATGTGACAGGGAATCCATCCTCAAACTGATTTCAGTAAATAGTTTCTTTGTTTCCTCTTGCAAGAGTTAAAACTGACGTAAAAGTTATAGAAATTTGTTAAACTACATAGTATTTCAAAATACATGAGCAATCGAGTGAAAGTATATATATATATATATATATATATATATATATATATATATATATATATATATATATATATATATATATATAAATACACCTTATTTCTCCTAGTCTGATTCAAAATGTTTATTATTTTAATATTTTCTTTAGATATATGCATATAAGTGAGGTTTTATTTTCTTTTTCTTCATTATAGCTTTTTCCTCTGTATTTATTTAGAATCTGTACATTATGTACAAACACAGAAGGAAGGTTTATGTTGAGTTTTATGTCTATTAATTTACACCATGCTCCGAGAGCCACTAGGGGTCCGGTGTAGACTGAGGCGAGGGTCTGGTGGTATATATTGGTGTGGGTGGTTGTAAGGTGGAGGTGGAGGAGGCAGTGGGGGCTGGTGCCCATCACTGCCATAGGAGCCATCTGGTGAGCGAACAGGGGTGGACATTGCGGACTGGCTCAGCTGGTGGTGGCTGTGGTGGTGATGCTGGTAGTGGTGGTGGTGGGTAGGCGTATGACTGAGGAAGGCCTCCACACGTCCATGGCCGCTGCTGTCAAGCATGATGACTTTGACAATCTGCTGGCACTGGATGAGCGCCTCGGGCCGGAGGTCGGCCACACTTATGGCGGGTTGGTGCTGCAGTTGAATGGGGAGATGGTGGGCGGGGGTACTCGCCGCGGAATGCAACTGCGGGTACTGAGGTGGAGGCACCGGCCCCTGTGTTAACCCCTGCTGGAAAAGCAGCTCCCCACGGCTGTTAAGAAGCGCCGCGCTCTCTGGGCTCCGAGCCACACTGCTGCTGCTGAGCTGGTACGTCTGAAGCCTGTTGTGAATTGACACCTAGTTTAGAAAACAGTCAAGAGAACAGCATCAAATGTTATAAAACTGGGTCCTCCTCTACAGTCCGTTAAGCGTTGTTTATTTTTTTTTGTGGGGGTGGCACCACTTTCACACACATACAATCACACAGGGCATGCTTTAGGGCTTAGGTGTTGGGAAATAGTGAAGGTGTAAAATCAGTGAGAGTGACTCCCATCACTCCACCCCCACAGGTGCTGGGAACACTACAACAGATGCTGGGAAGACCAGTGTGTGACTGGGGTAAGGAGGAGAGCAGTGAAGGAAAGGAGAAATCTATAGGAGGGGCCCTGTGGTTAAAAAGGAGGACACCGAGGGACCCTCTGTGTCTCCCTTCCAAACCACCATGTAGCACTACGGTGACGGTGGGCGGGGTCGAGGCAACCAAAACACAGGAGATCATAAGAGGGAGAAGTGGAAGAATAGAACAGAAGGTGAGCAGACCCACAAGCAAAGATGTCTACAGGAAACATTAAATTACAGTTTAATATTTCTCTCTACAATCTTATTAAGTTGACTTATACCAAAAGCTTTCCATGAGATGCGGGCTAAGGCTGTATAGGGTATTCTGCTTTTCTATTCCGAAAACATCCTGGTTTTTAAGATAAATGTGCCTCGACAGCCAGTCGTTCCCCACCAGCCCCTGACATTTACTGTTGGGTGTATGGCGGATTAGTAAAAAGGTAGTTCAGACAACCATGAAGATTGACCTGAGGTGAAATAAAATACCAGACAAAAAGCACTGGAGTCAACTCACTATATTACACATATTCAGATTTTTTCTGCTGCTATTAGTAGACAAAATATAACTATTTACCTACTGATTAAGGCTGATCATAGTTCCTAGGCCAACACAGTCCCTATAGTTTTTGTTTTATTTTAAGAAAGTTATATTCTACAGTTATAAAGTTATTTTTTCAATATAGGATCATAAATTAATAAAAAAGGACACAATTTAACACATAAGTTTAAAGACTATAGACAAGAATACATTATTTTTTTCATTTTTTTTTTTATAAATATCTTGCATTTGTATTTACTCTGATTGCACTAAATATAATAGTGTTATAGTTGGCATTTTCACTGTAAAGCTACCAAGGCATGCACCCAGTCTGACAGGTTACTGTATAAAGAGCATTAGTTAGACCGAATCTGAGGAAGCCAAAGATAACAAATTAAAATCTGGCTAATGTTGAAATGTGGCCAAATGAAAGCCAAAATTGAAAGAAAGCTATATCCAGTTTCATTTGAAGTGTGCCACTATATATGTGGTAGTACTGCAAACGTGGAAGACAGTGTTTTCAAGTGATGAGACCAGAATATAACTTTTTGAAGAACAGTGCATCTAGAAAGTATTCATGGTGTTGCAATTTTTACATTTAGTTTAGGGTTTTGCAAGTCGTATTAAATTAATCTTTTACCTACGTTGTTATATATTACAGAAAACATTTGTAAAAGTTACATTGGGTTAAGTATTTACAGCCTTTGCTGTAAATGGTTGGGTCACGTGCATTTTATGCAATCTCATCTATTCTTACTTGCAGTACCTTCTTAAGCTTCATCAGTTTTAAAAGCAGACATGTCTGCACAACCATTATTCTTTCTTAATAAAATTCAAGTCTAGACCTTAGAGGCCACTAAAGGTCATTCACACAGCATAACTTCTCAAAGACCTTGGCTGTATGCTTTGTCTCATCGTCATCCTGAAAAATTAGCTGTTGCCCCAGTCTGAGGTCCAGAGCATTCTGAAGCAGGTTTCCAGCCAGGATATCTCAGTACATTACTGCATTCATCATTCCCAGTATTTTGGAAAATCTGGCTGTTCCTGATGCTGAAAAAATATCCCTGCAGCATAATGCTGCCACTACCATGCCTTATTGTAGAGATGAGTGGGATAGTGATGAGTGGTGTATGAATATAACAATTCAACTTTTGTCTCATGTGACCAGAGAATTTTAATCCTTGTGGTCTGAGAAGTCCTTCTGGTGCCTTTAGGCAGAAACCATATGGGCTGCCATCTATCTTCTAATAAGGAATGGTTTTTGTTTAGCCACTCGACAATACTGGCTTGATTGGTATATTGCTACAGAGAGGGTTGTCCTTCTGGAAGGTTCTCCCCTAGCAAAAGATCAACATAGGTTTTGTACCTTTCCTAATCATCTCCAATCAAATAAATTCTCTGCAGGTAAACTCCAGTTAAAATGCAGAAATATTTCAAGGAGGATCAATGGCCTCAGAATATATCTCAGCTCAATTTTTGTTACTATTTATGTAAATTTGATTTTTCAGTTTTCTATTAGGAAGAAATTAGCAACAAATAAAAAATGATTGTTTTTACATTTTTATAGTGTGGTACTGTGTGTAGAGTTTTTAGGACAGAGATTAATATATTAAAATTTAGATTAAGGTGATGACCGAACTAAAAGTGGGGGGAAAAGGTTATTTAATCAATCTACTTCATTACTGTATAATCAAAAAGTTATGCAAGTAAAGTCTACCATGGCACATGTCATCGGACTCATCGTCCCTCATCACTCGAAGAATATTGGTTGCAGTCTAATGCTGCAGGTATGTTTTTTGTTGTTGTTTTTTTACAGGAAAGTTTTTGAGAGTTCATTGCAGAGTTAAATTGAGGGAAAACCTAAAGAAAACATTTTAAAAGCTGCATTAATGCTTGAGAATAGGTTCCTTCAAAGGCGATGTCCCAAAGCACAGCGATAGCTATAATGGTATTGTTTTTGATAAAAGTATATTCTTGTGTTAAAATGGGTCCAGTAAAGTTCAGACCTAAATACAATATAAAAATTTGTAGTAAGACTTAAAAATGTCAAAAGGAGTTGTCATCAAGTTTGACTGAGGTTCAACCATTTTATAAAGGAAAAAGGGTTTCATTTCAATCCCTAGGTGTTAAAAGCTGTACCACATGACACACAGACGTGTGGGTTCTAAATGATATTGACTCAGGAGGGCTAAATATTGATAATAATTTGAAATATTTCTTTAGAAAAACAGAAAAGCATTTAGTGAACAATTTTGTGGTTGTGTATTCCACAACATGTATGCTAGAAAGATTTCCTAAGAGGTGTGGGGAAGTAGCCACATAATGTCCAGTTGGCTCTTCTTTTTTGTTTACTACTCCCACCTTCCACTCCACAGCCACATAAAGGACTCAAAAAGGTCATCTGGACCCCTCAGGACAAGAAATGATGTTGTTGTAGTTGGATTGCTTTTTTATCTGCACACAATTTTTACCTGAGGTGTTTCCCTGACAAAAGAATGTGGTGGTTGTGACTACAGGTTGAGTAACATTAAAGTCCAATCTCCAGTGTGTGAAACTAATTGACATTTTAGGAGAAAGAAAGAGATAAAGCCAAATAGCCATGACTGCTTTAATCCACCCAAACAAAAATTCCAGATAAAGTCTATTTATCTAATAATGTTTGGTATTCTCACATGCCCACTGCAATTTACCCAGTAACACTCACTCATTCATGCACTCCCCACCCACGCCTGCTTGACGCCTCGTCCTAGACATATGACTCGTCCTGGGATTTAATCCTATCTCATCCTGCCCTGATGCTGAATCCACTGACTTACCTGTTGTGGGGAACTTAAACCTATCTTAAAGCACTTACCTCAACTGCATTGTGTCCGCTTCTTTCATCTATCTCTGTGTTTCCTAGAAAAGGGGAAAACAGTCAACTGAACAATATGTATATGGAAACATCTAAAGTCTATAGTTAAATAAATGGTTTATTCTTCTGCTTAAGAAAGAATTGCATATTTCTTGAGAAGAGACAGAGAATGCAATTTACACACTCAATTAGGAGTATTTAAATATCAGAAATTCTAGACAGAACTTTAACTTTATTGTCATTAAAATGTCACAAGTAGAAAGCAATGAAATTAACTCTGCATTTAACCCATCCGCTACTGGAGCAATGGGTTGCCTTTGTGTGGCGCTCGGGGAGCAGTGTGGGGTTAAGAGTCTTGCTCAGAGTGACAGTCCTCGGGAGAGGAGCTTGAACTAAGAGCCTCTGGAATCCAAGCGCAATGCCCTAACCAGTAGGCCACCACTCCCCCACATCCTTTGGAAAGCACTAAACAAGTTTCAGCCTTTGCCACACACGGCCAACTTATAAAAAAAATAAGTAATAAACAAACGCATTTTTAAAGTGTGGAAGCAAGTTTTTGGGCCTGTTTATTTTCCCCCTGCTTTTTAGGTTTGCAGCGTCTATTTTTCTGTCTCAATGTAGGTATAGTCCATACAAATTGGCTGCATTTCCATTAACCATCATATTGATCAATTTTAACTACAAAAATACATTTCTTAAATGGAAACACTGCAATTTAGAAAAGAAAAAAATCACGTTTTTTGATTTTTACACTTCAATCGACTGGGTTTTTCGGTTGCATCAAAATGATCATAACTGCAATGGAAACACTTTGTTTACACCCATGTTATTTTCAAATGTATCTTACTGACTTGTAAAAATAATAAGTATTATAAGAAGCAAATAAAAGTAAGAGTATCTCTTACATTTAGTTGCTAAAGATGAGTGCAATAAGCATCAGAACCATGGCTGAAATATGGATATATCTATATAATCGCCAATGCATCTAAATCTATGAATTTAATTTTCTTAAATTTCATTTAGAAATAGGGTTTTAAATCCATTTTTACATTCCAATTTTTAATGATGGATTAATAAATACAATTTACAATTCCCCTTCGATGATTAAATTTAAAATGTACAATTACAAAATTCTTTTTCAATTTGAATTAAAATTGCCTTTGAAATGCTGGTTTTCTTTTCAGTGACTTTAGGTCCTACAAAGTTCAATGGCAATGAGCAGATTTAAAAGAGTTTTGGTTCCTAGTTTGCATCTAATTTTGAGCATAAAAAGTGTCAAATGTTTTCCAGTTTGTTTTTTATTTCTCTATTACCTCATATTTTTTTTTTTATACATCTTTTCTATTCAGAGTGAAGCAATTAGTCTGAATCTGTTAAGATGTAACATCTAAAAAATGTAACTAAGCCAATTGAAAGGAATGCAAAAAATTCGTTAGAAAATTCTGAATTCTTTAAAAAATAAAATATATATATTTAAGCATAAATCACAAACTTGAACATCAATATTACATGCCGGAGGTTGATCTGTTCCTTCTGCTTTTTTTTTTTAAATCACTCCACTTTTTCTGATACACATACCTGACAGGGAGCCCTGTTTGCTGAGCAGCTCTAGCTTTGTCCCATTACTCTTAACGGAGAGTGCCTTGGCTCCTTGCTGCTTTTCCAGCTCCCCTGCAAAGAAGAAAAACAAAACTAATCACCCACATCATCACCCTGAGATGAATCCAGAAAAAAAGTGAACTGATGAATGGAGATGTCAAAGAGCGAAAGCAGTAACCACTTTACTCCTGTCTTTTAGAAGGAAACACAATTAAATGTGTTTATACTCCAACGCCCTTACTCTCTCATTGCCTTTCTCTCCCACAGTCTAAATTCAAAACCAAACTATTCCTCTTTCTAATTAAACTTTAGTCTTGATGATGACTGCCTGTTGTTCCCAGTTTTAGGAGTTCGATATCTTCTTTCTGACAGCTTGTAGATATTCTTTACAATCCATAAAAGCACCTTTGAAGTTAGGTACTTTTAAAGAGGACTATCGATTTCAGGAAAATAAAGTAAAACATGTTGTGCATCAATATAAATTAGATAAAACTTTTCTTTAAACATATCTCATAAGTATTCCTAGTATCCTTATTTAGCCACTAAGACTATCCCTTAATAGAATTCATTTAAGGCTCTGTAAAGGCATACAATTTCTTTTTTAAGAATAAATGAAAAAAGCACATCAAAGAGCAAACACACTCTAAAATGTAACTGATGCAGATGCTCAGAGGTTTAAACTGGAATGTAATTATAAAACAGTGACAAAAGACTTGAACGTCTAATGGAGAAATGTTTAATCATTTAAAAATGGAAATACTTCAGTTTGAGACAAGTTTGAATATTACAACTCCTCCATAACCTACCTTGGCTATGTTTTAAGGGTGTACAGGTGGAGACACATCATGATGATTAAAGCCGTTCAAGACTGATCTACCCAAAACTTAAGAAAGCAACTTTGGAGCTTTGTAGGGTTTGCTTTATTTTGTAGACATACCATTTAGGATTTCTGTCCAGTGACTATGGCCCGATCCCAAACCGCCCCCTATCCACTAACCCTCAACTATCAGGTGTCATGCCCCATGTGCATGGCTGTAGCTCAGTGTTTGACATGAAATCAAACTTTTGCATCTTTCTTAAAACAAACGTATATGATGAAATAAACTATTTCAAAGAGGACCTTTCCTTTTGGAAATAATGACGTGTCTTTCGTCAGTGTGAAAAAGATGCAGCACACCAGCAGAACTTACATCTGAATGCATGTGCTGGTTGGCGTTACACACCCTGCCAAATTACAGCGAGTCTGCACTGATGCAGACTTGCTATTTAAGGGCTGAATGGTCCACTCGCCCCACTCACTACTGCCTTTAGGACGGTCTTTAATATGGTCAACCCTCGTTTGTAACAAGCAAACGAGGGTTGGTGCTTTAGGTTGGTGGCCTGCCTGGGATTAAGCCTACTGCACTGACAACATCCATAGTGCTGTGTGTCTTTACCACTTCTGTTAAGACATACAGGGTTTGACCAGCAAGTGGATCGTCATAGCTGCAGCCTTTCATGCTCACTCAGGAAGAGCTTAAAAAGGAATGGAATCCCACAGGCACATTCCAGATAGTTTTGCTCACATGAATGTCTTTTTTAAGTTCTTCTTTTTCTTGGCATTCCTATGCTTACCTCTTTTCCCCTCCTTTCAGAAATGGGTTTTTCAGTTCACTTTCAACTGAGTTTGTTGGAGAACTTACTTCAACTCTCATGTGAATCTCTTTAACATTCCACTAGCTGACCTTGATTCTTGCTCTCAGGACCCTTCAACAATAATCCTCCATTACTCACCTGCCTGTCCACCATTGGCACTCAAACTCTCACCCTTTCTACTAAAAGTGTATTAAAAAAAGCATTAATAACAATAACCACTCAATAGTTACTGTCAATTTTTGCTTCTATGAGTATACTCACCTTTCTCCCTTGAAACTCAATAAAATATCTAATACTTAGCCAACCATTTGATCAAAAATTTCTATCATATCTCAACCATTTACTGCATTTTACGATAACAACTTACATTTGCTCCTAGTTCCACAATGGATAGTTTATCTGAATCCAGAGAGCCTTTCTTTATGATAATAAACTGTTTAAACCTATCTTTAGTGCACGTAATTGATGCCAGAAACCTTATTGTTGCCTAACCCTAAGCCTTTAACAAAACCAACTTGACATTTTCTTTGCCAACTGTTGCACATCTTTGCATATTGTTTTCCATTTACTCTCTGAGCTACAAGTCCTCACTCACCAAATGCCAGCTGGGAAGCGCTCCATGATGCTCTCTAATAGGAAAAGGCAACTTAATGTAGAGACTTGCCATACATTAATGACAAGGTATACTGTGCTGTAGATTTTCAGAGCCACCTAATCCTGTACAACTCTGTTAAAAGCCATGTTGCAGTCTGAACAGTAACCCGAAGTAGAGTTTAATACAAGTAAAATTAATTCTTTACTTATTGCTGATATATTTGTTTGGTTTTTACAGCAGCCCAAGATCAGTCTCATATAAAAAATGGCTAGCTCTGTAAAAGTATGCCTGTTTTCAATAAGGAAATGTCCAAACTATAGTTAGAAATATGTGCATCATTAAATACTAATGCTGATTTAGAAGAGGCAATTTGGGCCATGAGATTTCTAGTGTTTTTTTTAAGAGTCAACAACTCCTTCTGTGATAACACAAACCCACTCACATTCAATGCGTATCTGCTCCATCTCTGACACCTCTGCAATCGATTCCTTCAGGTCTTCCACAAACTTCAGTAGCTCCTCAGCACTTTGGGCACAAAAGTGAAGTATTTGCTTCTTGTCTGAGCCATACGGGGAGAGGATTGTGATGCCATGAGGATAGTCTGTGGAGTTCAAAGGTGTTTGGATCAGTCCAAGAAAATTATGAGGTTCCTAATAAAACTACCAAAAAAGTTCTGAGTATCTAAGATCTCTGTGTTATTTGTTACATTTTGTTCACATTGAATTTTTTCACAGCATTTGTTACCTCCAAAGTAAAAGTATTTCACAATGAGCCATACCTGCCCGTTTTCAATTTGGCAAAGCTGTGTAAACTGGATGGCAAAAGTGTTGAAATATAAGCACAGTGCTTAAAAAAGATAAAGGGAACAATCAAATAACACATCCTGGATCTGAATTAAATATTCTGATTAAATACTTTGTTCTGTACAAATCTGAATGTGCTCAAAGCAAAATTACATAAAAATCATCAATGGAAATCAAATGCTTTAAACAATGGAGGCCTGTATTTGGTTTTAAACACAAAATTGGAGTGGAAAAACCCACAGGCTGATCCAACTTTGATGTAATGTCCTTAAAAAAGGGTCAAAATGAGTCTCAGTGTTGTGTCTGGCCTTAACATGCCTATATGAACTCCCTACAATGCGTGGGCATGCTCCTGAAGAGGTTATGGATGTTCTCCTCAGGGATCTCCCCCCAGACCTGGACTGAAGCAACTCCTGGACAGTCTGTTGTGCAATGTGACGTTGGTGGATGGATAGAGATATGATGTTCTGGATGGGCTCAATCAGATTCAGGTTTTGGGAACGGGCAGACCAGTCTAGAGCTTCAATGCCCTCATTCTGCAGGAACTGCTGACACATTCTAGCCCAATTATGACGAACACAGGGCAAACCGCACCAGCATATGGTCTCACAAGAGACCTAAGGATCTCACCTTGATACCTAAAGGCAGTTGTGCTACCTCTGACAACCCAGACCATTACTGTCCCACTGCCAACCCGGTCATGCTGAAGGATGTTGCTGGTAGCCAGTAGCAGTTCGCTCTCCATAGTATCTCCTAACACTATGGAGAGCACAGTGACATATGGTCACATCAGTCACATGTGGGTGCCAGTGGTGAATTTGCCAATTTTGATATTCTCTGGCAAAAGCCAAGCATCCGGCACAATGTTAGGCAGTGAGCACAACCCCTATCTGTGTACGCCGGGCTCTTGTGGCATTCTCATGGAGTTGGTTTTTAACTTTTCAGTTAAAACAGACACAAGCACATTAGTGGTCTGCTGGAGGTCATTTTACAGGGCTCTGACAATGCTCCTCCTTACACAAGGCCTTCAGCATCTGGACACTACACTGACCAACACAGCAAACCTTCTTGCTACCGCTCGCATTGATGTGCCATCCTGAATGAGCTGCACTACCTGGGCCGCTTGTGTGGGTTATAGAGTCCGTCTCATGCCACCACAAGTGTGAAATCCCCACCAACAATCAAAAGTGACCAAAACATCAGCCAGAAAGCACAGGTGATGTGAAGTGATCTGTGGTCCCCACCTACAGAAACACTCCTTTATTGATTGTGTCTTGCTAATTGCTTATTTTCACCTTCTGTCTTTTGCATTTGCACAACAGCATTTGAAATTGATTGTCAATCAGCGTTGCTTCCTAACGCCTGGCATACATTGTATGATATTTTTTAATCGTTCTCAGCTACAGCTTAAACTGAATGACAAATCCACACAGTCCACAGCTCACGATGCATGTATTTTCACTGTACAAGCTGATTCTCTGATGTAATTTATCTGCTCCCACAGCACGTCCAGAAACCACACGCCAAGAGATGGCTCTGGTTGGACTCGTCAATCTGAATGAAGAAGAAGTAGAAGAGCAGGATTTTCCCACGAACACCTAACGAGCTTTGATTTTCTCCCAACCTTATGATTCCTGATTGGGAGATGGTTGGGAGAGGCTGTTGTGAGAGGCTAATTGCCCCTCGTTATACTACATGATGCAGGACACACGATGAGGCTGAAACTCATCAAAAAATTCTTGCACGACTGGAGAATCGGCCCGAAAAGGGCCAGTGTATGCTTTACCTAAGTGGACAGGTTGATTTCACAGAAGAACGTAGTTATATTGTATAGTTTATGTGTTCCCTTTATTTTTTTGAACAGTGTATATTATATTGCCTTTTGTTTTTGAAATTCTATGGAACATTTATATTCATTTCACACTGGGAAATTTATTCCTGTTTGTGCCTGAAGGTACCATATCTCAAATGAGGCACTTTCTTTTTTTAAGGTAAGTACTCTGGGCTCATCTCAAAATTTTTGTTGTATTGCTTTTATACTTGGTACGTCTTAGAATTTATTTTCATATTTCTACATATTGTCACTTACATTCATTTTCAAAGAGATGGAACTGCATGCCAAGTAGGCCCAAAGCTTTGCAGAAAGTATAGGCAGCAGAACTCTTCTTCTTTGGACAAAGCTTCAAAATCTGAAAGAGATAAGATAAATTGCTTAGAATCATAAACTATAAAATCATTTAAAACTAATTTAAAGGACAGACAGACAGTATTAATCTTAGCCATAACCTTCACAGTGTCTCAGAATGAGCTGCACTACTTTCATTTGAATGAAAAATAAGTCTGTGGCAAACCGATATCAGGATATATTAGAGATAATGTGAATCTTTTCCGTTGAGTGACCTTCCAAATAGAGAAAAATGAGAAAACTCTGGTGCACTAGACTACTGTTTGGTATAATATTTTCCAAGGAAGTGGTATTTAATAGATAGATCATATTGGCACTTTACACCTCTTGATATGTTTAAGCTGCTGGAACAAGAGACAAATTAAATACAAAGTCTAAGTCTTGTCTTCTGTGGTAAGATTTCTTAAGGTAATTCATTTCTGGTGTGTCACAAGAAAATGTGTGTCTGGGAAAATGCTCCATTAGTTACTGATAGCTCCAGCTGTAAAACATCCAGCTTCACTGTCCAAGGAAAACCTTTTTATACACTTACTTTATATTGTCTTTTTGACCTCTATTCCTCAGTTACTTTTATGAGTCAGTAGTAAGAAAGGGAGGAAAAGGGCTGCACTACAGTGGTTTGTCTTCCTAAACTGGCATCAAAGCTGAAGATAATCATAAACGTTGTTAAATTTGGACAAATGATCCTTTTGTGTATCTTAATGAGAACATTAATTATACCCAGCATTAAGAATATGATCATTCAATCCTGTAAAAAATTTGAAATTGCTCAGAAGTTCATTATCAGCTTCTGCAACAACTCTATAGAGGACAGACCTTTTCTTTAGAGGCTGCATGCATTTGCCACTGTCTATTATTAGAACAAACAGCGGAAGAGTTCTGAGTTATAAAACCACATAACGTATGAGAAGCTTTCAGAGGAGGTGGTGCATTGCAGCTTTCATAGCAAAGGAAGAACCTTAAAGGCTTTCAGCTGTGTGTGGAATGAAGAATGAAGAACCTGGTTTGTAGGCCTTATTTATCGGATATATAATCATGCTGTGTCAAAAGCCATTGCCTTTACTCTAAATAACATTGCTTAAACTCTGACTCCAAATTGGGGGAATCTAAGAGTTTTTTTTTTTTTTTTTTTAAGCTGTCCTACAGTATCATACATGGTTTTTTTTTTTTTTTTTTTTAAGCTGTCCTACAGTATCATACATGGTGTTTCCTTGACGAAAACCATGCAAGCAACAGTCAACATCTGAGCTCCTCTTTCTTCATTATGGGCAGTCCCAGTGAGCGGGCCAGCTCTGTTTTAACTGAACCAGAGTTCTGCACAGGTCCAATTTTTCAAATCCCTATCCAACTTACAACAGAACCGAGACCAGACCCATTTTGCCCATAAGTAATAGAGTGTGACCCCCCTGTTATCAGAATGCATACACAGAGCCACTCATTTTCATTCAGTGATTTTAGTCACAAAGTGTCTTCTTTTTTTTTTAGCTTAAGAGAAATGCTGTCTAAACAACAGAAGAAGAAACAGAGGCACATTGCCTGATGCTCAAATGCAAACAGGGCTCCCAGATGACCAGCGGTAAACTAGCTGGATGCTGAAGGGCTTTTTCTTTCTCTCACAAACGTAAATACATCCTCATATTGGCATGCATAGAATACAACAATCTGAACAAGCCTCTTTTTTGAAACAGCTGTTAGATTTTACATTAAATTCAATGAAGACAGTATAAGAATAAAGTTAAGAACTTAGAGTGTGCAACATTTACATTGAGCATTTACCTCAGGCTCAGAAAATACCTCAGAGCTCAAATTAACTTATCCCAATGTCACTGTTTATTTGATCAACTATGGTGTTTACTGACTGATATTCAAGGCTTACTTTTAAGTTTTCTTTGTTATAAAAGAATATGGTCCACAGTCAATGACTGTCAGACACCTGAATACATTTACTAATTAAGATTAGGCTTAATATGTATAATATAAATAAAAACTTTTACTAATTTCAAAAGGTTTTTCATGCTACCCAGTCCCTTTTTGTTCATTTAGTGAGGGTACCTGAAAGGTACTTGACAAGATACAGGACTCTAATCCACACAAAGACTCATTAGTTGCTAAAATTGTACAAACTTTAAAGCATCTGTATGTACCTTCAGAGGTAGGGAAAGATTAAATCAGCTGACAATTTAAAAATCTTGCTGATTTTGTGAACCAGCCTTTAGTCTTTAACCCTCTTTGATGCAGATGTATGTTTTTTTTATGATTGCAGCAACACCAAACATTAAAAGTAGGAATATTCTCCCCCCAAAAGTCTATACCACATTATTAGAAAATTAACAGAAGAATGCATATACTTCTTCCTATGGTAAAAGTTTTTAACTTTTTGGAAAACAAATTGACAAGGATAACCAATTTTGTGTGGGATTGAAACAAGCAAAAAAAGTACAATGATGACAATGCCACAGTAGGGGGTGTATTCAGCTTTTAGAGTAATACCGGTACTTATTTTTGTGCTGTTTTCAGATTGTATACTTGTTTGATGTAAATACTTAAAAAAATTAAAAAGGTCTAAACTTACAAAAAGAACCGAACCATATGATCATGTCGAGTTGTGGAAGGTTGTGAGGAGTTTACTAAAACCCAATATCTTCTAAATCTGCAAAGCTTCATTTTATTCAAAACACCAGACTTCATGGGACAGATGTAACAGGCTGCACATAAAATTTTGTCATGTCTTTGTTGCCTTTGCATTCATTATTTCTGCAGAGTTTATCATGCTTTTGCTATTTTCTTTTCCTGTTTCACTCCCTCTTGTTTCGCATCTAAGCCCCCATTGCGGAGAACGCACAGCTGCATTGAGTGCTTTCAGTGGGAGAGATGGACAGGAGGCGGACAGAGTGGACCTGTCTCCCCAAGCTTTTAAGAAAACTAAAGTGCAGAGCATGTCCAAAAAGTACAGAAACACATAAGTGTGCAAAAAAAAAAAAAAGAAAACGTTAAATAAAAATTGCTTTATTGGGCATTTATGTGTTAATTTTGACAGTCCCCGCTGTTTCCTATTCTCAACTTCTGTAGCAGTCTGATCTTTCTCTTCTTTTCTGCTTTACAGAAAAAAAATAGAAATCTAAATAAGTCCTTTTGTCTTAAAATAAGTGCATTCTTTCCTGGACTGAGGAGTGCATATTATCTAATTATCTTATTTTAAGAATAAAAAAATACTAATTCCACTGGCAAACTTACTCATTTACCTACTCATATTAAAGGTGAAACAGAAATTTTTACCTATTTCTAGACTGTTTTTCCAGTGTAGTGCAGTCCACTGGCTGGTTGGGAGGAGAATGGACTGGAAATAGCTCATTATTTCATGAGCAAAATTTTAGATAGATATTCTCCTATCCTTTCATCATACCTTACCCCTACACAGGGCCGGATTTAGGAATTTTGGGGTCCTAGGAGAAGACAGGCAGGGGACCCTCTGAATTGAGAAGACAACACATATAAAAAAGACCCATTTTACAGATACAGAAAGTTTAATAGAATAGACAGACATTATTCGTTCTACATTTCTGTCCATCTCTTCTTGTCCTTTTCTTGTTGTTTTCCTCTCTATGTTTTGTACTGAGCTGACTTTTCATGCTGTCTCAAAAGAAATGAAAGATTTTTTTTCAAGCACTAAGATCACTTAGCCGATTGCTCCTTCCTGTTTTTCCAAAAAGGCAACAGCAAAAGTGAATAACTCTTTTTCCTTATTTTCTGTTCTTCATTTTGCTGAAATAATATCTGCATGAATAATGACAGCAGACAAGAGAGAAGAGAGCATAAGGTGGGGTTATGAATCTACTTGCTCTGGAGAGCACAGTTCGGTGCTTTTATATGTTGTCGGCAAAGTCTCCAGTAGCAAAAAAAAAAAAAGTAGCTAGATTTGGCACTAGGCTCTTCTTGAAATAAAAGTGCTAGAGTGGTCTGAAACGTCGCTAAACATAGCGACAAAAACGCTAACTTTGCAACACTGCTCTTCGAATGGTTTGCTGCTGTCTGTTTGGATCTTTCAGAAGATGTGTAGCAAATGGACTGATCCAATGTGGTGGACACATTGGAGCGTTCTTATGGCAGTTTAGTGAAAGGATTTTAATCAAAAAAATAATTAATGCGCACGAATGAGGAAATGGTTGTATTAACTATACATGTAAACACAGTTCTATGGGGGCTCCCTGGTACTCTGGGCTTCCTCAAGATGATTGAGTTGCTCTCTAATCTCTATGGTTTACCTCAGTCACTCTATATCTAGCCGTTCTGTAATAGTTGTAACATAAACTGGTAAGTTGAGCCTAGGTTTTGTTTTTTGTTTGTTTTAATTTTCATAAAACATGAAAACCCTCACCCTACTGCAGATACAGTATGGCCCCACTCTGTCATTCCATCCCACACACAATCATATTACTTCACTTCTTTACCTTGTTATTTAAGATGCTGACTTTCAATTTCTGCATTTTGGATCCATAACACATTAATTCTCAACCTTTTTCATGTCTTATCTCTACTTTTCTGATATCTTATAACACCAGGAATTTCACTGAAACAATAAAATAACCAAGCTTGTTGGCAAGAACACCGCTAATCCTAACTAAAACACATCAGAAGCCACTATAAATTGGTCAAAAGGCAGAATTAACATCATTGGCGGGCAATCAATGGCTTCCTGTTTGATGAAAGACAGATTTAAAAATGGGGGAGGTGCCAAGCCATGTAAATTTAGAAAGATGATCTGATATCAGTTTATGCAGGAAAACTATATATAATATTGCAAGAATAACATTTTACCCTGGAAAAAGAAAATCCCCAGAACAGCCCTCGGATGAATTCTGCATGCTAAATGATTATTGATACTTGTGATAGGGGTCTTTTTGTCTTTCAAAGCCCATGTAAACACACATACTGAATCAAATCATACTTTGACCCTTGGGAAAACTGTCATTGGGTTATAGCTCTATCTTATTGGTGGATAATGATACAAAATGCCCCCCCCCCACACCGAAAGTGGGAAATTAACCTTACCACGATGAGATCATTGAAGAGGAAGACTTCCCTCTGGTGTGCTGCCTGTTTCTGTGCCTTGTTGACGTCTGTTACCTCAAAAAGTCGACTACAGCACACTAATCTTCTGTGAGGGACAGAGAGAACCTGAAGACATGAAGCAGATGTCTTGTTTAATTACTTGAGAGAGTTTCAAATTATTTTAAAAAAGGAGATTAAGGAGCTCTAAATCAGACTTTTTCAGAGGGATCCAAATTGGATGTGCTACGCATTCTCTTTTATTTAGTTTGAATGCAAATCCAAAGTGATGAATGCAATTTATAATCTAAACAAGAAAAATACATGTTTTATAGGTTTGTAAATAGATGCAGACACTATTGCGAGATTTGTATTTTTTATAGCAGGTTTAGATTTGTGTTCTAAAACATTATTGTCCAAAAAGTATAATAAAGACCAAGATTCACACAAGTCACTTTAGAAATGATGCTGTAGCGTGGCAGATCTTAATCACAAAAGAAGTCAAGACAAAATGCTACGTGTGGCTAAGTTTCTTTCTGTTATGTTAAATTAGGATACAGCTCAATGGTTCTGAATAATTTTGCAAGGCACCACATACATTTAAACAAGACAACATGTCCATCCTTCTCACATGACTGAATCAATTTAAATCTAAACCTTATAGATTTTAAAGCTTTTATTTAGATTCAAAGACTGCTACATCAGTGAATATTTTACCAGATAGTTACGACTGACAACTTTTATAACAGATCAGACAATACAGGATATTCTAGCTATGCTAACAATGGAAAGGACTTTATCAATGTCTCCCTCTTTTTATGGTAGACTGCTCCCCTTGGTAAGAACATTCACTTCCTGTCATGACAATCGATCATTGTTTGGGTATGACAGGACTCCTCATGCAATTCCATAGCTAGTCATCTATCACAAAGAGACTAAAAAGGCACGGGCCTTGATGGTATAAAAAGAGATTTTCAATTCTTTTCTATCAGTGCTCTTAAGTAATTTGTAAAGTTAGGAAGTGGCTGATACTGGACCTTGCTAAATGAATAAAGCCATTAATTGACACATTAAGTAGTCTCAGGAGACAAATTTAATCATGAATTCACGGCTTAATTTATCTATTTATGACCATATGAAAGAAGGGATAAAAAAAGACGAAAGCAACTTTCAGCAAAGTGTAGATCAGTGGTCTCCAACCCTGGTCCTCAAGATTTACTGTCCTACAGATTTTAGATGCATCCCTGCTTCAACAGAGCTTAATTAAATGAATGGCTTGAAAAGGTAATCAATCATTTGATTCAGCTGTGTTGAAGCAGGGATGCATCTAAAATCTGTAGGACAGTAGATCTTGAGGACCAGGGTTGGAGACCACTGGTGTAGATGATGCTGATGGCATCCATTATTTCTGCAAATATATTTCTGCTCTGTCATTTATTTTCCCTGGATGGCAGCTTATTTGACACATCTGAGGCACAGCAACTGACTCACTAAATTGATCAGAACCACAGGACCATAATTAACGACGAAAACCCCAAACCCAGGTTGATAAATTAGTTTCTAATGGCAGGCTTTTACTTTTGGACAACTTGTTTTACACCAATAGAAAAGCATTCAGAAGGAGTAAAAAACACTTACACAGGCTGTTCAACTGTGATTTTTCTTTATAGTTTAAATTTTGATTGATTTTGTAAGGTATCTGCTGTACTTATTAAATAAAACCAACTTTTAAAGATGTTCAGTATGATCAGTGCACCCACAAAACTAGAATTTATCAATCCAAAGGCAACATTTTATTGCCAAGGTGTCTGTATAACTTCTACTTACCATTAAAAAGATTTTACATTTCTGAAAATATATACTAGTTTTTACAAGCTAGACACTTTATTTAACAATCTTTCATTTTGTGCTTTACACACTTTATTCCAGACTGTTTAAGGAGTTTAATGATACAGTGGTAATGGTGTATCTTCATTAGGTAATGACTTAATAAGTGAACTGAAGATGAGACTTTTAATGAGTAATAAATGTGATAATTGCTTGTGATAAGTGTATGAATAATTATTGGTATAATTGGTGTGGTTGATGCATGATTTAGTAAATTAAGATACATATCTGTTAGCTAAGGTTTTAATGAAAATATTCTAACATAGAGTCCTTACCGTTTTCATGCCTACTATAGACTGTTCAACTTTAGAGACATAGGTGACATGATCTTCATTTGAACGGAGCTCTCTCAGCTGTATTCTTTCATAGATGCCCACCACCATGTCCCTGGGAATATCTGCTCCATCATCGACACCTAAGACAGATATACGTACAAGAATTTACTAAAACAAGACAGTATCCTAACATCTGTTAGTATAACTATAACATCATATAGGTGTGTGTTTATGCGTGAGTGCGTGAGATTATACTTATGTTGACAGGGTGTGTATGACCTGGAGGTCTATATTTGAAGAGTGGTAAAAATGATGCAAGGCCTGCATTCCACAGCACCTTCGAGCAGAAAAGGGCAGATAGATCCAGCTCCAAAGGTCACAACAGTCCCAGGCAGCCAAACAAAAAAGCATCACTCCAGGGCAGCCATGTGCCCCACACAGAAGTAGGTTACAGCAAGAAGCAGGGGCAGCTTCCTATAGGCTACAGGACAGGGCAAAATGTAACAGACCCAGCTGAAAAGGCCAACCCTGGGAATCAGTCTCTCTGGTGGCCCTGGGCACACACCAACCCCTGGCACCAATTTTTGCCTGTTATGAACAAGCAGGAGCTCCTCCCCTCAGAGACCCCAATATGGCATGTAGACACAGCTGAGAACAGGTCCTGAACTCCACCTATGCAGCCAGGAGCTGACACAGACTAAACTGCAGGACTAAGCAGTATGCAGCCTTATCCTGACAAGGGATTATCTAAACAATAGAAAATACAGGAAAACAAAGGGAAAATACACTTTGGAGGGAGAGACTAGGATAACTTAAGATAAATGAAACACCATCTAAAGATAATAGTAATTGTGAAAAAGCTGGACAAAGACTAATCTAAGTCAAAGAGAATGACAAGAACGAGATAAGTGAAAAACACCAAGTAGAAGTCAAACTAAGATGTAAATTAAAACTAAATACATCTAAATAAAAACACAAAATAACATAAATCAAAGTGTAACTGAAAAGTACAAAGTAAAAACCTAAACCGAAGAAAATACCCAAACAGCAGAGCGTGAATTCTTTATCTTGAACTTTGACTTTGTTTTAGATATTAGCTGGTAATATGTTACAATTATTTATTTTTATCAATACCATAAGATTTTCCTAAGATATTACATGGTATGAAACATTTCTCATCAAAAATGTGGGGAGTGTTGGCCTAGAGTTAAGGGTAGTGCGCTTGTGCTCTGAGACAGTTACAAGTACCCGGTTTTATCCCTGCAGCCTGTACTCCGGGTCCCTGAGCAAGATCCTTAACCCCACACTGCTCCGCCGGCGCTGCACAGTGGTGCCCACTGCTCCCCGAGGTGATGGGTTAAATGCAGAGGTACATTTCTCCAGTGTGAGATCAATAAAAGTTAAAGTTCAAATTAATTTGAATGATGTCAAGGTGGTTCGGAATGGATGTTCGTCTGCATTGTAGAACTAAACATTTATTTTTTCTTATTGACATTTCCACCTGGCTGCAAGACTTGTGATGATATTGATCCTTTTAAAGCAGCTGTCTTACTTTAATTAAAGTCTATTCTTTTTTTTGACTTTTTGTGTCTTTCTGCATCCATTAAATTATGTTTAAGGTTAACTTGTGAAGAGGTTAATTGGCAAGAACACATCCAGATACAAGCTTACTCTTTGAATGTTAGATAATGCAACTCAAAGCCAGGGCAGTTTAACCGAGGAAAAGCAGCAGGCCATGAGGCTGAAAATGTGCCCTCAGAATTCTCCCAATTATATCAACACAGCTGTGTTGCTCATTGCGGTACATTGGGTTTTTAATCGGGCTGGATTTGTCTGAAGAAAATGAAGGTGCTACAGTTGATGGCATTCTGAGTCAGCGAGTCATGCCAGGACACTGCTGAGATGTCATTGCACATTGCTGGGTCATGGTTGAAATTGAAATGACCACTGGGTAATTTGTGCCAGGTGTCAAATTAATACAAAGCAGTTTTTTTTTTTTGAAATGGTCTTTTCTTTTTTTGTTTTGTTTCGTTTGCCAGTTTATCCTTCTATGTGCTTAAAGAAAAAACATCAGCTGGGCTCCACACATGATACAGTATAACACTAATCTCAGCCATTAGCTAAGTACAGTGTAACTTAAATTAAACCTTGCACATACATCCAATGCCAGTAAAGTGCCTAGATCCTCATTGATATAATAGGTCAAGTACAGCTGGCCACTAACAAGGTCAGTCAGACAAAGATCCTTGATGACTTATCCTCTAACAACAGCGAACAATTGATTTAAACTGTCTGACAAGGTTCTATTATGTTAAAAAAAAAATGCTTATTTTGTTAACTTTTAGATTACTGAGCAGCTTTTTAAAAATTTTTTTAACCCAAGAATTAAACTTTCAAAACGTCCAACCTCCAACAAATTGTGAAAACCTGGGCTCCTTAACAGATAACTTAACTTCTTGGATATTTACTCATAATACAACTTTTCTAGTTCGATTAAAAGCAGAAAACCAATAAGTGAGCAGTTCTGAGACAATAACTCACATTAACCTTGTATTCCGAAATATAAACATTAAACTTTTTAAGTGCAAACTGTATAAACCTACAATAAATAGAAATTTCTTTAAGTACCGGTAAAATTTATGACCTTTGACATCTCACTTCTGGGTGTAATATATATATATGATATAAATATATATATATATAAATATATGATATATATTTTTTAGACCCAGCCATGTTTTTCCCCACTTCATGCTTAATTTCTTTCTCATTTCTGAACTTCTGTGAGTGCATGTATTTTATTCCCTGATGTTAGTGCTAGTTGTGCTTTCCTTTGGGTGTTGGATTAGAACCCTCTGTATCCACAGTTTTAATTAGTCTTTTCTCCCCTCAATTAACCTGCTCAGGTCTCTAGTATCAGTATACACTAGGGTGTACCGAGTCCCCCCCCCCCCCCAAACTGTCATGTGGGGGGATATTACAAACGATCATTAACCCAACATAAACAATAGATAGAACCACAACAATCATAGTATTCTATTCTATCATATCATTCTTAGAAGAAGCAGAAGTAGTTATTTTGTTTGCAGT